ATGAAAAAGAGAAAATAAAAATTAATAGGAGTCTTAGAAAAATATAGAAATTTTCACCAATTTTCACTTAAATATATATTTAATATTTAATTTTAATGTGTGTGGATATGCTGATGTAATGATGATGAGAGAAAGGAAAAAAGAAGAAGATAATACTAGGATCGAAATATTTTGCGTACACTATTAAATTTTATATTTGTTGAGGGGTTTAATGATATAAGAAAATAAAATATTTAGGTAAGTTGTAATGTATAAAGAAAAAAAAAATTTGGGAGCCCTCGAAAAAAAATAAAGAATAGAAATTTTTTAGGCCAACTATCAAATTTCTCTATATGTTGAAGTTTAATAATTAAAGAAAATACTATAATTGTTTTAGAAAATTTATAATACATAGAGAAATAAAAAATTATAGGGCCTGGCTGAGGCCTTAGGCAACTGCCTAACTTGCCTAATGCTCGAACAGGCCCTGCTCATACGCGTATATCATCATCACCACCACCACCACAAATCACACACTCACATATATCAACATCATCATTATCAATTCATCACGGTGATGAGCAAGGAAGACAGAATTGACGAAAATTGGAGCCCGATCTTGATATAACCCACAACGGCGCTCAAAATTGGAGCCGAATCTTGACCTAACCCACGACAACGACGATGTGAGACGGTGGCTTCAAGACTGCGACGGATTCTTCACCGCAGCAGAGCCATGAAAAAATGGTGCCTAATCAAATTTGTACCCACGGATCGACCGTAACAGAGCCCCGTAGCGAGCGAAACATCAATTGCCGTTGAAGATGGTGAGCTGCTCGTCGGCCGATGGTTGGAAGGTGTGGAGGTGGTGTCATGGCCGAAGCTTTCGGGTCTGGGTTAGGGGTGGTGGTGACAGTTGTGTGTGTGTATATATATATATATATATTTAGTCGATATACTAACCCCAGTTTCAGTCGCAAAACTGTTAAGGTTCCTATTTCTGTTCGCAAGTTTGATCTAAAAAAACCTGCCAGTGGCTTGATTTCATATTTCGCTCTGGACTTCATATTGCAGCCCTCGTTACTAGACTACCTTCTTCATAATCATCAGAATAGCAAAGGATTTGGTTAAGGCAACCAATTTGGGATAGTACTGGCCGATAAAGGCAACCAAATTTGGGCAAAACAACAATGTTTGGTTCTTTTGTTTCACCACTTATATTTTTAACCTGAGGATCCTATTTCCATTTTAAATGGATTTGCAACCGATTTTAGTCTTTGTTTAAAAGAGTAAAGGACATCAAGATATATATATATATATATATATATATATATATATATATATATATATATATAGAGAGAGAGAGAGAGAGAGATAGAGAGAGTAATTTGGTTATTTAAATATTTTGATATTTTATAATTAAAATTAATAAATTAGTGAAGGGTAAAATGAACTTTTCACATGTTTTAAGGTTTTGTTTGGATGAGCAATTTTATAAGGGGGTGTGGCTGTCCAAAAATAGGCTAATTTTCATTTGTTTGTCCTTACCTCAAATTTCAGAAAATGTCTTTATACTTTACCCAAAAAAATAATATATTGAAACTTTTTGTACTTTTACCTTAACAGACTATGTAGAATTGAGCAGCGTCTAACAAATGCAAAAAAGTCAAAAAGGTGGGATATTGTGTATATAAAATAGAAAAGTTATATTCTGCTGTGTTATAATTGTGTATATAAAATAGTAAAAGTAATTATATATAATAAAGTGTAGAATGTAAATTATGGTGCATAACATGTTTTTAAAATTTTCAAAATAAGTGTGTAGTCAGCAAACTTTTTGCAAAGTGTAGAATGCAAAGCAATCCTCGCATAGGAGATGCTGTTAATTTGGTAGTTTGGTATATGTTACCATCAAAAGTATGCATCCCAGATGACTTACCCACCCTCCCACCAAAACTCAAAAAAAAAAACAATGATCTTTAAAATTTGGGATTCTTACATTAGTCACATCAAGTTTGCTTCCCAACCCCAATTGAATCAAATGGTAGTCTGGTCCAACGAATATTTGATCTTTTGACCTAAAAGTCAAAGATCCCTGTAGGTTGAAAGCTTAATCCGACCTTACTTGTCAAAGTTGTGGAAGTAAGTACCTTATCTGTAGATTTTTTATTTATTTATTTTTTTTTCAAATGTAGATTCTTTCTAGATGAAATGGTTTTCAAAGAGAAAATGTTTTGTACAGAATGTTTTTGTACATTTGAAATTTTGAAGTCAAATCTATTCATATTAACTTATTTATTTATTTATTATAACTGTTTCTTTTTATTTGAGTCCTTGGTAGTCTAATTTAATAATTTTATATTCTTTTCATTTTGAATTATTTTATAAGACTCATTGAAGTTTACAATTTTCATTAAGCTAGCATGACAAAAAAATGTGATCCAATAAATTTTCACCAAGCTATCAACCATGGTGGGTCTAGGATTTTATTCTAGTAAATTACTTATATAAAAAAATTAAATTGGTGAATATAAAAACATAAATACGGATTAATACATTTAACAAATGGATAAATATTCTTGAAATTTTCATTTTTGAAATCCTAAAAAAAAAAAAAAAAAACACGAATCATAGTGGTATTTCTCGCCTTCTAAATAAAAGGTCAATTATTCAAGTTCTCATAAAAATACGTAGTTATGTGAGTATATTTATTGCCAAGATAATAAATAAAAAATAAAAAAATCAGACCACAAGAACACTAGTCATAAAAAATTTAGACCCCATGGGTCATGTCTACAATTTCTATAAAAATGCATGTAAAAAATTAAAATATAAAAGTTGAGTGAAGGTAGCTTCCCTATTGTTCACCAAGTGGCTCCTGGAATTGTGTGAGTTGTAATTTTCAAAACTAGACATTTTTTTTTTATATTGATGGAGGTAGTACTATAAATTAAAATTTTCTTTTATAAATTAGACTAATAATTTATGATATTAGCTAAATCATATTCATCCATTTTAAAAAATTACACTTGATAACTCTATTTAGTACTTTAACTCCCCAATTAAAAAAATTATCATATTATTTTTTAATATTTTAAAAAGTCTATCATATTACTCCCGCCTAATTAGTTTCCTGTCTAAAACTAATTGGATCGTATCACATAAAATCATGTGCAACAATTGCATCATTTTCGGATCAAAATAACCTTATAATTGGTAACAAAGAAATTGTCCTTCTCACACCATAATTTTAATTTAATAAAATATTAAAATACTGTCAAGAATATTATTGTCATTTCGCAACAAGTTAACAATTCCATCACAAAGAGGGAACAATATGATAATTTTTGAAAAAATTGTTTGATAATTAAGAGGATTAATAAAGGGATTTTTATGATTTTAACCCCTTATAAAAAAATATATATTGAATCGATTCTTTTCCATAAATATATCTGATGGCAACTCTGAATATGGAATTCAAATTCTCAACTCTATTTTAAACAAATGGAAGGTATGTCTTATTTGGTCAAAACTCAGATCTACCCAGTGGATTATGATATTTTAATGGTTATAAATCTTTAATGCCACCTATTATTACTGAGAACAGTGTAACAAGGCTATCCAGCTGATGACAGGTGGGGTAGTTGGGTTACAGGCTATAGCCGGTAAACGCGCCGACTGATGATTCAAATCGCCATCCGCAAAATACACCGGCATCCAACGGCTGAGAATCAATCACGAAAGATCACGTGAGCCGTCGATCTACTTGACCACACATCTCTGAATGAATCTTACCCAGAATACGACCAAAGGGCCACTGGATCCTCGCCTATAAACACGGCCCATCCCGGAGCACAAGACCCCATACTCGCAGATCCAACACAACTCTCTCTCTCTCTCTCTCTATGTAGAGAGCTCAACTCTTTCTCTCTCTACAAGGTACCATACCCATTTTTTTCTTGTTTGATTCAATTCTTGGGCTCTTATTTGTTTCTTTGTTTTGATATGTTTCAAGAAGCTTAGATTTGTGCTTTTGGGTTTAATAGAAGTGTTATGGTATTATCTATAGTTGTTGTTTTTAGTGTTTTTTTTATTTTGTTTTTCTGCTTCCAAATGCATAAATATAAGCTATTTTTGTCCTCGGAAAGCAAAATAAGCATTTGGAGTTGGGATTAGAGTGTTGCATTTACATTTCTGATGTCCATAAATGAAATTTAACCATGCAAGTCTGATGGATTAGTAATTGCTGTATGCTTTAATGGAATTGGTTGATTTTTGCTTGGATGGGTATTGAGATTGGTCTGTTTAATATCGCTTCTTTTACTCCTAGTATATCTATACAGAGCAACTATTGTTTCTAACAAATTAGATTTAAATTCATAAATTTTATTTTTGTATGGCAGTGATTTGTTTCTATGTATTACAATCAAATTTTTATAGGGTTTACTTATACAAAAAAGTTAAAAATTTATAGGGTTTTTTCTAGTTTAATTGAGCATTTATGTGTCACAAATGGTAAAACAAGGAAAGGAGAAAGATATGGGTTATATATCTTATATATATGTGTGTGTGTGGATTTGAAAAAATAAAGCTTAAAAGATTCCGAATCAAGATTATTTTTGTGGAGTTTATTTGTTAATGTATTTTTTTTTTTTTTTTTGTAAGTAAATCTTTTTAATATATTTTAATTTAAACTACTATAGGGTCCTTGGTCTCCAAATAGGTCCGCCCTGCTGACGGTCCTTTGGTGCACTAGTTAAAATTGTGAACTTTAGGGCTGTTAGTTTGTTCAAATAATGTGAAAAGTTATGCCAATGTTCAATCTTCATATTAACGCGCATGAGTGATATATATTATTTTGGGAGGAAAAACGTTACTAGGAATTACTGTTATATATTTTGTTGAAATTTCCCTTAGTTTTATTATCTACCATTTTCACAAGTCGTACCCATGTTCAATCTTCATTTGTGTTTGTTGTGCACCTTTAATTGAGAGATCTGTTCCCTAATTTTGATTTGCAGCTTAAACGAATTGAAGACCTTCTTATTCACCTCTGAATCTGTGAATGAGGGACATCCCGACAAGCTGTGTGATCAGATCTCTGATGCAGTGCTTGATGCCTGCCTAGAGCAAGATCCTGACAGCAAGGTTGCCTACGAGACTTGCACCAAGACCAACATGGTCATGGTCTTTGGAGAGATCACGACCAAGGCCAATGTAGACTATGAGAAAATTGTGCGTGACACATGCCGTGAGATTGGATTTGTTTCAGATGATGTGGGTTTAGATGCTGACAATTGCAAGGTCCTTGTCAACATTGAGCAGCAGAGCCCTGATATTGCCCGAAGTGTCCATGGTCATCTCACAAAGCGGCCCGATGAGATTGGTGCTGGTGACCAGGGTCATATGTTTGGCTATGCCACGGATGAGACCACTGAACTGATGCCTCTCAGCCATGTTCTTGCAACCAAGCTTGGTGCCCGCCTAACTGATGTCCGTAAGAATGGCACCTGCCCGTGGCTGAGACCAGATGGTAAAACCCAAGTGACTGTTGAGTACCACAATGACAATGGTGCCATGGTTCCCATTCGTGTCCACACCGTCCTCATTTCCACTCAACACGACGAGACTGTCACAAATGATGAGATTGCTGCTGATCTCAAGCAGCATGTGTTGCCGATAAGGGTTGAGCATGTCCAAGAATGGTCGGCCAATGGAGAAATAGTAGGAGAAGATTTAGGAGGATATCTATATATATTCAGCCACCTCACCAAAAGGGTTGTTACTAAACAACCGAGATTTGTGTTAATTTTAAAAGGAAATTTCGTCAGAAATAGAACATTGGGAGAGGTTGGCTGAGGTGATATAATAAAGTTCCTAAAAAATAGGGATTTAGTTATAAGAAAGGAAATTGAATCCTTATGGAAATGAAATTCAAAAAGAAAGGGGCAGCCACGTGAGCGTATGGGTCAAGGCTATAAATGGTTTTTCAGCCATTTAAAGGAATATTTCAGTCAAAGCTTGAAGAAAGAAGCTGCTAAAAATCAGCAACTTACTAGCAATCTTCCAGCAGCTTTCTACCGACTTATTAGCAATTAATATTTTCTTCAACAAAGGTATTTTATTTGAAGTAAGACGAAACAAGAGGAGAAGAGATGTGAAAGACTACTGGAATACGACTTATTTTCAGCAACAAAGTGAAGCAAATCAAGGAAAAGAGAGATTTCAGTAAAGATTTTCCCATTGAAACTGGAGCATCGATATTGAAGGCGAGGAATGTTGGGCCGTAGCTCGGTTTGAATTTGAAAAGGAAAAAATGATTGAAGCAAAAGAGATTTTCTAGCAATTAATTAGGAGAATAGGTTGAGATAGAACTTCTATAAATAGAAGTATTGTATTCCATTCCAATTAGTCCAGCACCACCACAAAACATGCATTTCAACTAAAAATGTTTTCAATTGACTCTACGTCATTTTTTCCTATCAATTTCTTTGTTTCAATTTAATGGCAATTGATTAGATCATTGTCAACTATTTCAATTCAGCCATTTACTTTCTTTCAATTTCAATTATGCCAATTTTAATTACGCAATTTTAGTTAGGCTTTCAATTCAATGGCAATTGATTAAATTCTTGCCATTGAATCGTAGTGACAATTGATTAAATTCTTGTCATTACTTGACTGATGGCAATTGATTAAATTCTTGCTATCACGTTTCAGTGGCGATCGATTAAATTCTTGCCATTGTGTTTGGCTGATGGCGATTGATTAAGTTCTCGCCATCACGTTCGGCCGGCGATTGATTAAGTTCTTGCCGCCTGTCTTCACTCGGCCATTCCATCCATTCAAACATTCATCAGCCGTTGCATTTCTTTAGACACTCTAAAAAGTCCTTGCTATAAACAAGGCATAAAAGAACCTTGGTGGGAGTTTTTACTAGTCTCTCTCCCACACAATCGCCTGAGAGTCAGCCATCGGAAAAAGGGATAGGCTGGTGTTCAATTACATATTTTGGGTATTTTGTACAAATACTCTGGCATGCCCGCGAAGAGTCCATCGACCGGCGTAAGGAACAAAAAACCGCGCGAACACGTTTTAGCACGCCCGGTGGGACCACTACTAAAGTGTATAAAAGAGGCAAATATGCCGCGGCTCACAAAAAATTCTAAGGCCGTGGCTACTGATGAAGATTTGGAGGAAGGCGATCAGCCAGTACAGGCTGAGAACTCTGCAGCAGGTCCTACTGATGAGTTAGCCGTACTTCAAGCACAGGTTAGCTCCTTGGTAGATGCAATGGGAAGGATGGGAGCACGCTACAACGACTTGCATGAAAATATGTCCCAACTCTCAACCTTTATTTTGAACAAGCCGACTCAAGCTAGCAGCTCCAACAATCAGGAATCGGCTTCTCAGCCGAATCTATCACAAGCTGCTCGGCCAGAGAGGGCAATTGAAACATCACAGCCATGGCCGCCAGTAGTGACACTCCAACCAGGTGCAACATCAAGTCAGCCGATTCATACGCTACTCACTTGGGCAGAAAGCTATCCTCAGCCTACGTTGGCAGGTTCTAATCAGCCACCAGTAGTAGGTTCGCAGCCACAGGTAATTCTACCAAACCCTCCTCGGATGCCTTTGAACTCGGGGGGCAATCAGATTAGGTGGAGGCCACCGAACCCACTGTATACTTATGTGCCGCCACAGGTAGGGCTTGGGGGGCAGAATATGGCTAATCAGCCACATGATTGGCCGAATTGCTATCAACCAGCGGCTAATCAGCCGCCAGTTTTTAATCAGGTACCACCAATATTAAATCAGCCACCTCAAGTCATGTTAGATAGAAGACAATTAGCTGATTTACTCACAGAAGAATATGGCCTGGAACTTAGAGGTGCCGGCCAACCAATTTATAGAACTCCTTATCCAGAAGTGGTAGACCAAGTTGAGTTCCCTAGAGGATATAAAGTCCCTGACTTTGTAACCTTTAGTGGAGAGGGGAATCAATCGACCGTGGAACACATTGGCCGATTCACGGTTCAATGTGGAGAGGCTAGTGTTAGCCCGTGGTTGAAATTGAGACTTTTTCCTAACTCTTTGACAGGGGCAGCTTTTTCATGGTATATTCGTCTACCTCCTAACTCTGTTTTTAATTGGCCACAGATGGAGGAATTATTCCACAATCAGTTCTACCGTACGGAGACAGAACCTACTCTGGCCGATTTATCCAGGCTAAGTCAATTGCCTAGTGAATCGGTCGAGACATTCATTGTAAGATTCAGGAAAGCAAGATTAAGATGTCGTGTACCTCTTCCAGAACAGGAGTACATTCGTTTGGCTTTGAACGGCCTTGATTTTGAACTTCGGAAGAGGTTTGAAGGAGTTCCATTTCGTGACATGTATGACCTGGCCGAGAAAGCTACCAGGTATGAGTTGATTCTCAAAGAGGAGAAAGAACGAAAAAATTCCTCTAAAGGTACGTACTATAGGGACCCCAACTATGAAGTTTATTCAACTGATATGGTCGAAGAGGAAGATTTTGAAGCTAATTTGGCCGAAGTCATTCTAAAGAAACCTTATGTATGTGACGCTTTAACAAAACCAAATGTATCCACCAGTGGTACTCAGCCATCGACTTCATCGGCCAGGAAGGGTACGGCTGATACTGGTAAGGTTTATACGTTTGATCTGGCCAAAACAGAACAAATTTTTGATCATTTGTTGGCCGACAAACAAATCGTTCTGCCAAAAGGACACAATATACCATCTACCAATGATTTAAAAGGAAGAGAGTTCTGCAAATTTCATAATTCATGGAATCATACTACTAACAATTGTTATGTATTTAGAAATGTATTGCAGAAATCTATCGATGAAGGTGTATTGAAATTCCCTGAAAAGAAGCCAGATGTAATGGGGGTCGATGGCGATCCATTTCCAAATATTGTCAGTACCAATGTAATCAGCCTGGCAACTGAAAAAGCCGCTGATAATGGTAGACAGGAAAGATTACCAAAAGTTCTTGGTAGTTCATCAGCCAGTAATGATGAGCAGAAAGTTAAGGACTTGGAAATTCAGTTAAGAGAAGCTCAAATTGCCCTCATCAACCATGGTTGTTGTCCAAATTGCAAAGGCCGAAGGAATGACTCAGACAAGAGGGGCTATTTCCAATCAACCAGAAAGCGCAGTGTCCATGAAAGGTTAGGCCATCAGCCTAGACAGAATCACGAAGAAATCAATCGATCAATATTTAGAGAAAATGGACCGAGGGCAGTGAGAATCATTCGGTCATCGTTGGCCGATAGAGTCCTGCCAGAACAACATTTTTATCCTAGTTTCAAAAGGAAACCAACAATTCAGTCAGAAATATGGGTTCAAAAAGGAGAAGAATCTAGCCGTGTAAGAACGGTTAGACCTCTTTTGGTTGACCATGGCAGATGGACTCGAGTAAGTCACCCAAAGTTTCCTAAGCAGCCTCCTACACGTACCCAAAAAAGGAGGATGCAAAGGAAAAATGCAGAACTCAAAAGGAAAGAAGACAAGATCGACCATGATCAACTAGAAAGAAAAAATGAACCAGTGGTGGCTGAAGATATGGAGGTCGCTACATCATTTGAGAATAAGGCATGCTTTTATGAAGAAAAAGATGATCAGCCCGACCAGGATCCAAAGCATGCGGCCAAGTACAGAATTCGTTTTGGTTCTCTCCCGGATAAGGTAAATTGTAACATGGTATTTGTTTTGCCTTCTGTGTTTGAAGCAAGGATAGAACCAACGGTGAACAGGGATGTTGAGTCAGCCAAGCAGGAGGAAAAGGCTGAATCTTCAGAAATTAAGAACGATTCGACAAGTTCATCGGCCGGGATAGGATTGATCTCTCAGGATCAGCCATCTAAGGCCGATAAAATCATTTTTGAAAAACCAACTTTGTCCATGACACAGCAGTTGAGGCCGTTGTATGTTAAAGTATGGGTTGAGGGTCAGCCAATCAATAGGGTTTTGGTTGACAATGGTTCGGTGGTGAATATCATTCCATCAACTACTTTAAAGAAATTGGGTAAAACCATGGATGATGTAGTTCCAACCGACGTGGCCATCAGTGGTTTTAATGGAGGATCTAGTAACACCAAAGGTATTCTACCTTTGGAAACTACTATTGGCGGTAAGACATCCTTTTACGGCTTTCTTTATCATTGATTCAACCGCGGCCTATAATCTCCTTTTAGGCCGAGATTGGATTCATCCTAACATGTGCATCCCATCAACCTTGCATCAAATGTTGATTTTTTGGGATGGAAATGAGGTAAAAATTGTTGAGGCCGATAACAAACCCTTTATAGCTAGGGTGTATACGGCTGAGGCTGCACTTTATGATGAAACTGTTGTACCTATCAAATTTGTTGGCATTAACAGGATGGGACGACCAGCAGCGGCAACAATGAAGAAGAATTTAATTAATGCTGATATTAAAGAATTATTGTCAGAAGCAGTTCGGCCGAAAATTGATATTTTCAGGTTGACCATCAAGGACATTGAAGATGTTACTGATGGATCACAAAACCAATGAAGAAAAGAAGCGGCAAGCTTTCAGGGCCGCTTGCATCAGACTGAAAGCATATCTGGCTGAGAAGAGACTGGCCAGAGAAGAACAACTATATGAAGAGGTATCGGCCAGCACGGCCGATATAATTGAAGAAGGTTTCGAAAAGCTGGATGCAATCCAACTTGAAGATTTGGAGTCAGCCCCTTCCAGGATGGAAGATAATAAAGCAGAGGTGCAAGATCCTTTATTGGAAATAAACGTTGGTACTAAAAAAGATAATCGGCCATTATTTGTTAGTGCTTTGCTTGAGCCTAAATTCCAGGCCGATTTGATTAAATTATTAAATGAATATAAGGATTGCTTTGCTTGGAGTTATGAAGAGATGCCTGGCCTGTCTAGAAAATTGGTAGAACATAGATTACCGATCAAGAAAGATTTTCAGCCATATAAACAACCACCAAGAAGGATGTCTTCGGAAGTAATGCTCAAAATTAAAGAAGAAATTGAAAGACTTCTTAAGGCAGGATTTATTCGAACAGTTAGGTATGTTGAATGGTTGTCTAATGTTGTTCCGGTAATGAAGAAGAATGGCAAACTTAGAGTTTGTGTGGATTTTCGCAATTTAAATAATGCCACTCCAAAAGATGAATATCCAATGCCTGTGGCCGATCAACTTATTGATTCGGCCGCTAAGCATGAAATATTGTCTTTTATGGACGGCCATTCAGGTTATAATCAAATCTATTTAGCCGAGGAGGATGTTCATAAAACGGCTTTTAGATGTCCTGGGTCAATTGGTACTTTTGAGTGGATTGTGATGCCATTTGGCCTAAAAAATGCCGGGGCTACTTATCAAAGGGCAATGAATTCTATCTTTCATGATATGATTGGCCAATTCATGGAAATTTATATAGATGATGTGGTTGTGAAATCATCGGCCAAGAGACAGCATTTGGAACACTTGAAAAGGGCCTTTGAAAGGATGAGGATTCACAAATTGAAAATGAACCAATTGAAGTGTG